AAACACCAATACAGTATACTAACATATATATATGGAATTTAAAAAGATGGTAATGATAACCCTATATGCAAGACAGAAAAAGAGATACAGATGTATAGAACAGACTTTTGGACTCTGTGGGAGAAGGCAAGGGTGGGATGTTCTGAGAGAATAGCATTGAAACAAGTATACTATCAAGTGTGAAACAGATCACCAGTCCAGGTTGGATGCATGACACAAGTGCTCGGGGCTGGTGCACTAGGAAGACCCAGAGGGATGGGATGGGATGGGGAGGGAAGTGGGACGGGGGATCGGGATGGGGAACACATGTAAATCCATGGCTGATTCATGTCAATGTATGGCAAAAACCACTACAATACTGTAAAGTAATTAGCCTCCAACTAATAAAAATAAATGAAAAAATAATAAAAATTAAAAATGCCATTATTAAAAAAAATGCTGCTGAGTAAAGGGACTACAGACAATAATTTTGCTTCTTTTTATTTTTTTGTAATTTCCAATTTCTATCATGAGCATGTTATTTTAATTAATGGTGGAAGAAATAAAGCTCTTTTAAAATTAAAAAATAAGGATAATAAATAAAAATAAAGCAAGCTACAGAAAAATACTTACACATTTTTCTATTTATAAAAAGTTGTAAAGGTATAAAATATACTGTTTAGGATACATATTTGTTTCCTAAAATTATTTTTAAAAGGGAATGATTCACACAAAACTCAGGAAAGTGGTGGTTACTTCTGAGGGAGAAGGAAGGAAAGGAATCAATCATAAGAACCTTTAAAGATACTAAAAATCTCCTTTTCATTAAGCTTAGTAGCAAAAACAGGCCTTCAATTTTCTATCAGTCTTTAAATTGAAGATTTATATTACACAAACTTTTATACATATGATTTATTTCACAATTTGAAAAGAAGATATAAATAGGATTGAAGAATTAGAACTTCAGGTCTGAAACCCAAACTCTTCCACTTACTGTATAATCTTAAGTATTAAGACCAGCTTTTACTCTTCTCAGAGCAGTTTTTCTTCTTATATGAGAAAGCTAACACCTAACATATATTTAGTACTTTACTGTTTATAAAGTTCCTAGACTATAGTACCAACATGCAAACATGTATATGTAGATAAACTGAGATAATAATACAAAGTTATACCTCCTTAATAAATAACAGAACATAAACAACATAAATAACTAAGAACTCAATGGTAGGACACAAGAGGCTATTCACATTCTAGTCTTTTCCTGTCTAATAATAATAATAGCAACAACTAATACTTTTTAATGTGTACTATCTAACACACTGTATTAAATGCTTTCCATGGATTAGTTTATTTAATCCTCAAGAAAACCTGTGAGATTAGTCCTCTTATGCCCATTTTACAGATGAGACCATTGTGCCCAAGGTCACATTGCTAGTAGTAAATGGTGGACAGACTTCAGAATCCACACTCTTGACCACCATATTAGTTTTGCCTCACTTTTCTCACTACTTTTTTTTTTTTTCCTGCACTTTGCAGCATTCAGGATCTTAGTTCCCTGACCAGGGATCAAACCCATGTCCCCTGCATTGTGAGTGTGGAGTCTTAACCACTGGACCACCAGGGAAGTCCCTTCTCACTACATTTAAATCATCTATCTCTCCTATAACACTGAAAGCTCCTTGACAACTGTTTTTTTGTCCATTTTCATTTTCCCCTGGCACTTAGCAGGCAATAAGTAAATAAATAGTAAACAAATATTTCACATATGTCAGTGTTTTTAGGACATAAAGTTATTTCAGGGCATGAACTGATTTGTTCCCCTAAACAGCCTTCTGAAGGGTTAAAGTTTTTTTTAATTTTTACCATTTTTAATTGTATTTAATTGCAAATTTAGTGGCAGTAAGTACATTCACAATGTTGTTTAAACATTACCACTAAGTGTGAAAAGTTTTTAATAATTTTACTAAAATTATTCAGCTATCAAGTGGTAGAAAGGGCATTTGTAACAAAGACTCTCAACCTCTTAATTCACAAGCTATTCATTCTACCAATGTACCTGTATACCAATACTTCAACTGCTCCTCTTGCTACCAGAATATTGGGAGAATCAAATGAGGTAAAGATACTAAAACACTTTATATACATTTCTACTGAACAGGTGAACACAGTTGTAATAAAAAAAAATCCACCAAGACATTTCTCCCAAGTGATTATTTTCCATTTTGAGCTCTCAAAAGCTACAGCTTTAATATAAATGTCCCACCTCGAGATCAAGCCTGCAGATGCACAAAAGCAATGGCTGGACCCCAGAGTAAAGTTATGAGGAGAAACGCTTGCATTAGTTAGATTACACTCTCATCAAATTACCGGTAACTGCTCAAACCTGATTTTCATTGTAACACAGAAAGCTTCCTCATAACAAAACACTTTCAATTCCAATGATTAAGTCCAACCTTCAATCATTCTGCCCATTTCAGAACGACAAAAAAAGATTCTTTATATTGGGTATTTTTATGTGCTCAATTGTGAAAGCCAAGGAAAATGGTTTGTTTACGAGCTAAACTCTGAAGCTTGAACCAAAAACTAGAATTATTTTGATCCCATTGGTGCCAATTTTATCCTCTTTACATCTCTCCCCATTTTTTCCCCAGTCTGAGCACTAATCAACAGCCACTTCATGTTTAACATATCATAGTTAATGCAATTAAGTCCAGAAAACTATTTCCCTAAAGATGTTTCCTCCATTAGCATCCCTCTCTACCTTCCAGCATCACTATTCTGTCATAAGAATGAGTATATCATTAAGTTTTAAATAAAATTTCTGATGAATAGATGGATGTATTATTTTTGTAGTTAATGCAGTATGCTTATATCTCCTAGTAAATAAAATAAAAATGATTCTATGTTTTTATCTACATCTGACAGAATTTTAACCACCTGAATTCCTTTGGAAAAAAATTCAACCTATAGAAATACAATCCAATTATTTTAAATCTTATCAAGTAATGTCAAAAGAGAATCAAATGAAAAACTCCATCAATAGCAAACCATCTCACCAATAAATATTTATGACATTTCCATATTTCCTGTCTTCTGTTTACATAAAGCAGTAGTGCCAAGATTCATCTCAGGATTATTAGCCTGCAAAACAATGATGGACCTAATTGCCTTGCAAACCAGGACACCAATAAATGGAGTCTTCAAGCAATCAATTTTAAGAGGGGGGAAAAAAAGGCCTAAGCTCTTCTGAATACATGCACGTTGCCTGACTAGGAAATAAATTCAGCCTCATATTTTTCAGCCTCATTCATCAGTTCTCAAGCAAGGAATGTTGCCTTAACTACTTAAGCTCATCAAATCTATTCAATACCAAATTTCAGGACTAATTTTTAAAACACACCTTGGGCAGAAAGAAGGCAGAGACATCAAACAGAAAGGTATCTATCACATTGCAGTTTCATCTTCTTCACCTTTAGTTATGAGAGTGGGTTTTTCCCTCAACTTTTTTTTTAAATACATGAATAATAGAAGATGCCTTCCCCTCCTCAATTTTACCTTAACTGAAGCCCCACTCAACTTTACCCTTTGTGATGGTTTACTTCCACATGATACTAACACAAATGAAACAAAAACTAACAGCTTAAGAAGTCCTTTAGAAACCAGTCTTTAATGTACCTTCTCTGTCCCCTGCAAAGTCCCCCAACTATAGCCTCCAAAGCTGTCCATTTAAGTCCACTCCCAACCCCCTCCTGTCTCTTGGAGGCCATCCCAACCCTTCCTCTCCAGAATCATCCAATCAACCTCCTCCCAATATTGCTTACTGCCCCTCTCCATCCTCCCTGCCCACTCCATACCAATAGCCCCAGGTTTCCCACTCCTTAATTAGCCCCATCTGCTACCTCACTATCAGCAACCACCTCTCCAGTCCTACTAGTTCACCTCAGACATTCTTTCTCCAAAACTGCCTCTGCCACCTTGGCCAAGGGACATTTTATTCAAGATACCATCCCCCAACCTTGCTCACCACCTGCCACTATTCTTTTGGTGAGTCCAGCCCGGAAGCATCTTCTGTGCCCTCTGCCTCCATCCTGTACCCAGGGAGCCACCAGTGGTTCTAACATCACTCTAAATGCCATCCCGCTGTGTTCCCACCCCACCCCCCAATTTCGATCCTTGTTTGCCCATTTGGGGCCTAACTTCTACTAATTTACCCCCTCTTGCCAGCTCACCCTCACACTCCCCTCACTGAAAGTCCCACCCCCACCAGCTCCCATTACAACTTCCATAGCACTCCCCAGGAAAACCCCAAATTCTACCTCCTCTGCTCTCCTAACCCACGCTATTCTGTAAGTCCCAACAAATTCCACCATCCCAGATGGCAAGCGCCCACTTCAAGCTCAGGTCTCAACCCGTGCCAAGCCCCTCACCCTCAGCTCCTACCTCCTCTATCAGCCTGACGAAGGTCCACGCCACACTCCAGAATTAACCACCCCCCAGGGTCCTATCCAACTCTGCAGTCGCACTTTCTATTGAAATCAACCCCTTACCCCGCAACCCGGCCCAGATCCCAAGCTGTCAATTGCTCCAGGCCAACCCCAAATCCACCACCCTCATTCAGTCCCCTCCCCCATTAAAAGCCATCCCACTCCAGTTTCACCATCCATTTCGCCCAAAACCATCCAAATTCCATCCCAACCCTACAACCCCCTGCTCCTGTCCCAGGTCGTTTCCATTAAAAGTCCCCTTGCTTCGTCGATCCCCCCGCAACCTGCTCGTGTCCCACCCTCACCCCACCCCCAGCCCGCGCCTGGACAAGTCTCCCTTGCCAGCCCGCCGTTCCATCGCGACCTTAACCCCCTTCCCCCAGCCCGTGAGGGGGCTCCGCAGCCCCCATTCTCATTCTCCCCAGTACCACCGGCCCAGGCTCAGCGAGAGCAGAGCTGGGTAGAGTGGGGGTGTATCTCCTCACCGGCGAGCTGCTGCAGGCGAAAACGGCGGCGGCGGCAGCTGAGGCGGCGATGCCCTTGTCTTCTCTGAAGGCTACAGAGGCGACGCTCTCGCTCCGTCGCCCGTGTCCAGTAAGGTGGCGGATGGCGCGCAGGGACCAGGAGCCTCCTCCTCCTCAGCGACTCGGCTCTGAATCCTCTGCAGTAGCCGCCGAGGAGTCCGACGGGTGGGGGCAGGGGACGCTGGGCTGCGGGCGAGGGAGGAGGAGGCTGAGGGAAGGGGCGGGGGACCGCTGAGAAGGGAGGGGAAGGAGGAGCCGGCGCAGCGCCGCGACACGTCCCACAGCCTCAGCTCGCCGGGACCACAACTCCCGGCATGCCCCGCTCCGCCCGGCGCGTCGCCTGCGCCCCCGACCGCGCGCCCGAAGCGGAGGGACCGCTCCCTCCTCGGTCACAGACAATGGAGTAAAGCCAACCATCCGCGGGCGGCTTTTGTAGACTCAGAGACCACACAGGAAGGAAGTTAGGTCACCCAGCAGCCCCATCCTCAAGGGACGATGTTAGCGGCGTCTCCAACCTCTTTACGCGCGCGCACACGCCTCCACACAGCCCTAAGACCTCCTCGCGCTGGACTACATTTCCCAGCATGTCTCACAGCCTCTCGCTCTCTTTCCGGACCCTTCTCAGACCTGGTACTACAGTTCCCAGGGAGTGTGGTCCCTGCGAAGTGCTGGGAGATGCAGTTCTCAGTTCTTCCTCCATGTTAAGAAAAAGAAGTGAAAGAGAGGGGAATGGGAAGGAAATATGCCACCCCGCTGAGTACAGGCCTAGATGGGCAAGATCACCTGCGAGTCTGTACTCTTCGCAATAACCGTTTGCCACTGTCTCGCACCAGAACTAATGCAGCAGCTTCCTCCTGGTCTCCCTGCAAAACTAGACGACTTGGCAGCTTGAGCCCAAATATAAAAAGAGGGTACTTCGTGACCCAGCTCCGTTACTTTTAAGAATTTACCTTAGAAAGATAATCAATTTGGAAAAGATGAATGGACAAGGTTGTTATCGCAGGTTGTTGATTATAGTGGGGTAAACGTTAAGTGTCCATCACTAGGAGCTGCTTAAATTATATATACAAACAATGCATTAAACAGCTGTGTAAAATAATGATATGGGTCTATTTCTTGACATCAAAAACTATTCACAGTTTATTCTCAAATGATAATAGAACATCATGTTTAGAGTGATCTAATTTATGTGAAACGAGACAATATTCTATAAGCATAAAAAGAATTCAGTAAAAAGGTTCCCCAAAATAGTATATGTAATAATCTTGGAATAAAGTGTGTCAGATTTAAAGTAATTGTTATTTTCATACTGCCAAAATTGTTTAAAAAGAGTACAAACTTTTTAAGCTATAAACTATTTTCAAAAAATAAAATTTTCAAATCTAACAACAACCTGTTTTTGCTACCTAGAAGGTTTTCATGGCTTTCTGTTGTCCTCAGTGGTGCTCCAAGAGGAGGGCTATCTAGTTTTTCTGGGAGCCCAACATTTCCACTATTACAACAAATAATAATGGTCACTTACAATTCATAAAAGAATAGTAAGTTAGTAGAGAGGATTTTCTCAATTTTCACTGTATTAAATGTTTCCATCTTCTGGTCTTTCTACACCCATTTGCTCCTTTTCTCCTACTCATTCTTGAAACTCAAGCCAAAGTCCTGCCTTCCCAAGTACATATTTTAGACATACTGATTTTCCTTTCATTTGAATTTTTAAAGCAATTGTTTCTAATCTATGGGCCAGAGATCACTGTTAGGGAGAGGAGTGAGGAGGGAGGCATAAGCTTATTGTAAAGGGACTACAAAGCAACCCTTCAAGCATCGTCTGTAAACCAAATAAAATAAATCTTACACTTAAAAATTGTTTCTGGAAAAAAAAATTGTTTCTGGAACTTCCCTTGCAGTTCAGTGGTTAAGACTCCATGCTTCCTCTGCAGGGGGCTTCTGTTGGATCACTGGTTGTGGAACCAATATCTTGAGTGGCTCTGCCCAAAAAAAGACAATTGTTTCCTTCTTCTATGCCCAGTTCTAGAATATGGAATATGGTATCAGATGACCTCTGATTTAACATAAATCCTGTATGAAAAATGTTACAGCATTTTAGGTCTTACATAATTGTTCCTCACTGTTCTGCAAGATACACCAGAACATTCCAGCTCCACGAGCTAGCCAACCGGAGAAGCATAGGCCTACCAAAGCAAGCCCAGGTTGTCTGAATCAAAGCTTAATTTGGTCCATAGTCCTGCTGCAGCCAATCTCTTCAGCAGCTTCACCCCACCTAAATTTAATTACACTCCTATGCCTTATGACTCATTTTCCCCAAATGCATCAGGCTCTCTTTTTCAAACTACCTCATTTTTCATCCTTTTCTCCCAGCCTTAAAATTCCAAGTCCCCTTCCTGCCCCCAAAATCCTAGACCCTCTTCTCCCTTTTCTGAGAATAATAAGAAATGTCCCTAAGAAATGTGGGCTATATCCCTTCCCCTATCTGAGTGTTGCATTGATCATCCCACCTTCTAAACCTACTTCATTCCTCCTCCTCCTCCTCTTCGCCACTGGCAGACAGTGGAGGCTGGGCAGTTAAAATGAAAAGGGTTGAGTCTATCCAGCCAGTAAAGCATATCTGAGCTAGGGGAATAGGTATGAGGAAGCTTACCAGATTAGGAATCTGGGAATCAGATCCTAAATTAGACCTTGCCATGAACATGCTGGGTGACCTTTAGTAAGTCCTTTAATTTTTTTTTTCTGAACCTCATGTCTATGTCTATAAATGGAAAGATGATTCCTGGCCTGTCACCTCATAACGTTATTAGGAGAATCCAATAAAACAATGGGTATGAAAGTGCTTTGAGGACTGTAAATTGCCACTTACAGTCCAACCCTTCATCTAATTTAGGAATTCTCTCCAAATCCCCACATCTAAGTCGTGGGGACTGTAATGTAAACCTTTTACTCATAATTATGTTATTAATAATGAATTTATTAATGTATTTAAGGAATTTTCTCTATTAAGCCAATTTAATTCCTTGATAAATTTTCTGTATAGCACAGTTAAAACAATTTGACTTTTCTAAATTTTTTCTAAATTGAAATTTCATAAAGATATATCCTTTTCTCTATCAGTTTTGTGAGAAAGACCTGATTCAATCTGTTATCTTTTCTCTTTATCAATTTTTACTGATTATTGCTTCAGCTGTCAGGAAATTTCTCATCATTATTTGCACCAAGTCCACCTTTTCTCGGGAGCAATTTGAGCCGTTGTCAGTTTTATTTTGTGTTGATTATTTCTACCAAGTGGAATTTTCCCAGGGGTTAACTTTGCAATGTTCAATGTAACCAACAAAGATGGAATCATTCAGTTTGCTTTTCCATCCATAAGAAATTTTTACCACGTGTAGTTTTAGCCATTGTCAGTTTTGTTTTGTGTTATTTCTACCCATCCGATTTTTTTTCTGTACCCTAACCAAAACAAACTCGGACAAAATAACAGTATCAAAACATTCTCCTTTGCCTGTTACTATATGATTAACTGAGACTGTGAAATGGTTTTGTCCCAGCTATGTTAATGAGCTGGCTTTGAGCTCTCTCTTTCTCTCAAAGCACCTCTTTAGGAGCTTTGGCACACAGTGTGGGCTGGAATATTACTTTAAGAATGTCTCAGAATTGGAGGAAAATAGATGTTAGAGACCTTATTAGGAGAACCAATCTTTAATGAGCCAGGTGCTGTTGCTGGTGTCTAAGATCCATTTTCTCATTTAATCCTACAGCCTAAAAGTTCCTTCACACGCCAATTTTATAGTAGAGGAAATTCAGACCCAGAGAGAGGGAGATATTGGCAAAGTTAAGGATCAGAAACCAGGCCCTGGTTTAGTTCTCAATGCAATTTGAATGTTTATAAGTTCCAAAGTTATCTAATTTAATTTTCAAATGTTTGCACTTCATCTTGGGGTTTTTTTTCTGGTTTTGGCTTAGCCACATGGCATGAGAGATCTTAGTTCCTCAACCAGGGATCGAACCTGTGCCCTTTGCAGTGGAATCGCAAAGTCTTAACCGTTGGACCACCAGGGAAGTCCCTGCACTTCATCTTGTTAGAAAATTAAAAATTTTGACTATCACTAGGATACAAAACAACAGAAATACATCAATATAAACAAAGCATTCTCAAAGAGCTTTTTGTGACAACAAACGAGACCAAGAGTGTTAAAGTGTTTTGTAAATGACACAACACTGGGCAAATGGAAGTTTCTGCCATTTGTAATGAAGGCTGGTATATAAACCTGTTACGCCAGCTTGGAAGAATGCTAGAGAACTAATAGCACCCTCCTGACATTCAATAGATGAATGTCAAGTGCTCATGCTAATATTTAATTCTAACAGCTAATAATAAGAGAAGGGGGAAGCAGAGAATGAGATGGTTAGATAATCAATGGACATGAGTTTGAGCAAACTCCAGGAGATAGTGAAAGAAAGGGAAGCCTGGCGTGCTGCAGTCCATAGGGTCTCAAAGAGTCAGACACAACTTAGCAACTGAAAAACAAAGGAGGAGTAAGATGGCATCCTGCCTATCTTTTAAGACCCAATTCATACATCAGAAAGCATCTCCTGATCTTCCAGTTAGGCTAGGAGCCCACTGAGCTCCCCCAGCCAGTTCTCGCTGGATGTTCATCGTCAATTTACTGCCTTCAAGGACAAGGACCAAGGTGGTCCCGTTCATCTCTGTGGCCCAGAGCTCAGTTCAGCCTGAAGCTTCTCAAGGTAAGGCTCCTGTAAATGGTGGTTGAATTAAAGAATGAATCAATCAATTAACATGACAAATATATAGATGCTATAGATAATCAATTAAAATGACAAGGGAAATACCTCAATAAAGCTGAAAAATTAGTGACAAGGGAAAAGTGCACATTAAATAAAATTTAGGGCACAAGTAAATCACAAATGAATATTCAGGAACTGCTGCCGAAGCTCTAACCCAGCTGGCGCAGTGAGAAAAAAGCCTTGATGTCCTGGGTTCAAATGCCACTTCAGCCAGGATGGGGTGTCCTTACGGTCCCTTCACTCCTGCACCTGTTTCTATATCTGGAAAATATATGACCTTGCAGAACTCCCAGGGTAGATACCAGAGTAATTAAGGTATCAGATGCTTCGTAAGCTATGACAAGCTGACAGAGGGGAGGGTTGTTACTGACAAAGGTTAGAAGAAAATTTGGAAGAAAGTTTACATTTAGGAATATTCTCTTTTTTCCCATTCTTTTTTTTTTTTAATTGGAGGATAATTGCTTTACAATGTTGTGTTGGTTTCTGCCATACAATAACGTGAATCCGCCATAAGTATACTTAGGTCCCCTCCCTCTTGAACCTCCCTCCCACCCTAGGAGGATTCTTTTACGTAAAGCTGCTGATAAACTTAACCACCCCCCCAAAAAAAGCATATCAATTACAGTGCAATGTATTGTGAATTGTGTCTTCCATAAAAGATAGTCCCAAGTTCTAACCCCCATCTACATACCTGTGACTTGGCCTCATTTGGTAGGAGGGTCTTGGCAGTTAATGAAGGAAGAATGTGGGGGAATTCCCTGGTGGTCTAGTGGGACTCACACTCCCAATACAGGGGGCCTGGGTTTGATCCCTGGTCAGGGAATTAGTCCCACATCCCACATGCCACAACTAAGTGGAGAAGGCAATGGCAACCCACGCCAGTACTCTTGCCTGGAAAATCCCATGGACGGAGGAACCTGGTAGGCTGCAGTCCATGGGGTAACAAAGAGTCAGACACGACTGAGTGACTTCCCTTTCACTTTTCACTTTCATGCATTGGAGAAGGAAATGGCAACCCACTCCAGTGTTCTTGCCTGGAGAATCCCAGGGATGGGGTCGCACAGAGTCGGACACGACTGAAGTGACTTAGCAGCAGCAGCCACAACTAAGAGTTTGCATGCCGCAACTAAGACCTGGTACAGCCAAGTAAATAAATACTGAGGGGGGAAGGAAAGGCAGGACAAAGTCAGTTCTGGATTTAGATGGACCCTAAATCCAATGAAAATGTCTTTATAAGAGAAAGGAGAGGCAATCTGAGATGCAGAGACACCAGGGGAAGGCCACGTGAGGACAAAGGCAGGGATTAGGCATGTAGCCCTAAACTGAGGCACACCGAGCCTCACCGGAAGCCCCCAGAAACCAGGAGCCTACTTCACAGCCTCCAGATGGAACCAACGCTGCCAGCACCTTGGTTTCAGACTTCTGGCATCCACAGCTGTGAGAAAATACATTTCTGTTGTTTTAAGCCTCCCAGTTTGGGACAATTTGTTAAGATACCACTAGGAAACTAATATACCAATTAAAAACCCCACATAGTCAAGTAATTAGTAAATATTTAAAGTACCCCAAATAGATTCAGAGGAGCCTCTTTTAGGAAATGTTTCTCAGTTTCACTTCATCTGTCATCTCTAACAGCAGCTATGGAAAATTGGTGTTAACATCCATTGTCTTTGAATCTGTGGCTTTTCTCTTCTTAATCCTTTTTGCACTGTTAATTCTTGCCCTGCCTCCTGTGATGGCTCATACTTTGAATCAGTATGAAGAACTCTGGTGTCATACAGAATACACAGATAAGAGGAGTGCAGACCTGGGTTCATAAGCCAACTTAGTCACTTAGAGGCTATGACATTGGGAAAATCATTTCTCATTATGGGACCACCAAGTCTTCTATTATAAGATGAAATTCATGGTCTAGCAAAACAAAAAATTCCCCACGTAACCCCCTTGCTCCTTCAGTCCTGTGCCCTAGTCAGCCTAGTCAGCCTCAGGCCTCCAGGATGCACTGGATTCAATTCAGCAGAGGAGAGATGGGTCCTCTCCCCAGCTCTGTGCTGTGCTAACCTCTTCCATCAAAGATCACCAGCAAAGCAAGCCCCTTGCATTGCCAAAAGAAATAGCCTGCCCTGCACAGCCACACTTGCAATGGCTGCTCAAGGGCAGGGGCAAGACAGGGGTCACTGGTACTCTAGTCATCAAATTCCAATCTAGACTGAGGTCCTTGGGAAAATTTAATGCAGTGGAGACCCTTGAATTCTACTGTGGAGGAAAAACTAAGCAGACAGTGAAGGGCCCTATAGGGGGCAGAAGAAGCAGCCCCCAAGTTCAGGAAAACTGAAATCAGGGGTCCTCTACCTTTTTCATGGACCTTTAAGGTAGGCTGATGAAGCCTATGAACCCCTCTCAAGATCATGATTGTAAGTGCATAACATAAATTACATAAGATTACAAAAGAAATAGTTATCAAAATATTTTAAAATTTGATCAGCAATGTTTGTTGACAGATAACAGAATGTCACACACTATTTAATAACTGCCTCAATTTCAAATTTCACAGACAATATTTCAAGATATCTGTAACAATTGACATGTGATATGGAAACATGTGATTTTTGTTGGTTACAAAGTCAGTTACTGCTGATTCTACCGTAGTTTGTGACCTGTATGCAAAATGGAAGAAAACACTAAGTTTCTGTAAAGATTAATGAATATAAAAATGTAAATTTCCCATCCAGATCCCAGACCCCCCAGAGGACTCTCAGGAGCCAGGATAAGAACCTCTTTCTCAAGTAGTTAGACTACAGAATAAAGTGTGTCGGAGGGATGAAAAGATTGGCAGGCTGTGTCTGGGAGAGTAATTTTTTCAATGGAGTATGGGATTGAAGAGGTAGTGGAATGAAGTTGCAGAGACTAAGGAGTCAGCCAGAACTGAACTCCCCTTCTCCAACCTTGCATTATCCCAAGTTGTGTGACCTTGGGCAAGTCATTTCACCTTCCTGCAAAATACAGATACTCACACAGACTCACAGGATCACTCTGAGAGACTAATGTAAACATCTCTTTAACCCTTAAGCTCTGTACAGATAAAAGGATTTTGCATTTTGTTGTTGCTATTTGTTTATAACTGTATTCTTTTGTTTTTACTTTTTGGCCAAACCTAAAGGCGTGTGGATTCCTTGACCAGGGATCCAGGGATCCAATCCATGCTGCCTGCAGTGTTCCTTGTTCAGGGATGTTCCTTAACCTGGGATCCAACCATCCCCCTGCAGTGGAAGCAGGAGTTTTAATTACTGGATCACCAGGGAAGTCCCTCTTCTGGTTCTTTACAAAGGAGGAAAGTTCCAGAAAAGTTGGCAAAAGACACTTGTGAATGACAGTGATGAATGGAGCAGAGTGACAAGATCAGGAGAAGTTGTCTCAGGATGGAGATCTTAGGCTTCTCAGGGAATACACTTTAGTCAAACAAAAGAGGGCAGAGAGAAGAATGGAGGCAGGAAAACCTCCAGGAGGGAAAAGCCTAAAGACTAGGACACCCCTCAAAGGCCAGGGCTCTGCACAACTACCTAGAGCCTGCTACATTGTTGTTAATACAGTCCAAGAGATAGAAAAGCTCTTAGGACAGATTAACAGCCACTTGCGTACCCACAGTCAGCTCTCATTGCGGTCTTAAGGGGGAGAGGAGGGAATGGTTCTTTTTTTCTCTAATTTTAGAAAGTCTATATATTGTGAGCAAACATCCTTTGTCTGTCAAAACTGATTTCAAAGAGAATGAGAAATCTGTGCTTCCAGACTAACTCCATCCTTTCCAGCTCTCCTATTTTCTTCTAGGCATTTTGCTTTGATGTGATCACTCAGAGCCAGACATCCTGGAGTGCGAAGTCAAGTGGGCCTTAGAAAGCATCACCATGAACAAAGCTAGTGAAGGTGATGGAATTCCAGTTGAGCTGTTTCAAATCCTAAAAGATGATGCTGTGAAAGTGCTGCACTCAATATACCAGAAAATTTGGAAAACTCAGGCCACAGGACTGGAAAAGGTCGTTTTCATTCCAATCCCAAAGAAGGGCAAAGCCAAAGAATGTTCAAACTACCACACAACTGCATTCATTTCACATGCTAGCAAAGCAATGCTCAAAATCCTCCACTCTAGACTTCAACACTATGTGAACCGAGAACTTCCAGATATTCAAGCTGGATTTTAAAAGGCAGAAGAAGCAGAGATCAAATTGCCAATGTCTGCTGGATCATAGAAAAAGCAAGGGAATTCCAGAAGAATGTCTACTTATGCTTCATTGACTACGCTAAAGCCTTTGACTGTGTGGATCACAACAAACTGTGGAAAATTCTTCAAAAGATGGGGATACCAGACCATCTTATCTGCCTCCTGAGAAACCTATATGCAGGTCAAGAAGCAGCAGTTAGCGAACCAGACATGGAACAATGGACTGGTTCCAAATTGGGAAAGGAATACATCAAGGCTGTATACTGTCACCCTGCTTGTTTAACTTATATGCAGAGTACATCATGAGAAACATTGGACTGGATGAAGCACAAGCTGGAATCAAGATTGCCGGGAGAAATATCAATAACCTCAGATATGCAGATGACATCAACCTTATGGCAGAAAGTGAAGAGGAACTAAAGAACCTCTTGATGAAGGTGAAAGAGGAGAGTGAAAAAGCTGGCTTAAAACTCAATATTCAAAAAACTAAGGTCATGGTATCCCATCCTATCACTTCATGGCAAACAGATGGGGAAATAATGGAAACTGTGAAAGACTATTTTCTTAGGCTTCAAAATCACTTCAAAATTCTGTATTTCATATTGATGCTGTAATGGGATGAGACTTTTGAGGGTCTTGGAGGAGGGTGAGAGTATTTTACGTGTAGGAGAGTTTTAAGTCACTTGGCTTAAGAAGGCAGATTACATTCAGTTCAGTTCAATTG